CAGACCTCTCCTGTGCATCCAGCAGCCCCCCACCCACCCCCGCAACACTGGGCCCGCCATGCTGTCCTGTGCGCACTTCCCAGGGCACTCCCAGGACTGTCACCAGGAGCAGAGAGCTGGCTCCGCAGAGGAGCTGCAAGGGTCCCACCATTGCCCTGCTCTTAGTGACTTTGGTGTTCGACAGGAAGTGCTGCGGTTTTGAGAATTTGCCAGGTCCTGTTCACGTACTCTCTTTGTGAGACCCCTCACCACACCTTGGCCCTCCCACCGATAGCTCAGGATCATCTCCTTTTTATTAAAGACAGGGGGCCATCATTAAAGCCTAGCAGGCCTTAGTAAAATCCCGCATGCCACTGGGGAGGGCTGGCACAGGTACCCTTCACTTCTCCCAGCGGGTAGCTCTGTCTCTGCAGCTTCAATTTTAAAGCATTTTCGCCTTCAGGTCAGCTATCAATACACATTCAGACTTTTATTTTCAAAAGAACTTGAGTTTGTTCAATAGAGAACACATTTTTAAAAAAAAAAACATTTTTAATAGCTGGGAAGATGGTTCAGTGGTAAAACACTTCTTAGCATGCATGAAGTCCTGGGTTCAATCCCCATCACCACATAAAAAAATAAACACCAGCAATGAAATGATTTTAAAAGTCTAGAAATACACCTTGCTTTTAAAATGTTATTGAAGACCGAGTTTGCTTTGCTGAATTCCAACAGAAGTGCTTGGATCTACAGTGATAGCATCTTTCAGTGTGGCTTTGGGGAACAGCAGATGTCAAATCTTCCAAATAATGATTTGTTCATGTTGTGTTCGTTGCATTGCTATATGATTAGGCTTATGAAAGCTGAAGCAAATTTTGCAACAGATATGTTTGGCTTGAGCTAAATTAAATAAACCCCTGGAATTACCCAGTTGGCAATTACTGCTTGGTGTGCCTCATTAGGAAAGGGCACAGGGTTTTTAGTACCTCTCTGCAGGATCCCTAAGTTAGGAGGAGTCCCAGCTGAAAGCCTGGTAAACACCAGGCGGGTTTTTTGTTTGTTTGTTTGTTTGTTTTGTTTTGTTTTGCTGTTTTAGTAATTTTGTGTTAGTTTCTGGGACATGTCTTGAGCTGTCAGAGGTGCAACTGGAAAGGGGAGTTGAGGTTCCACTTCCTTCTGTGGGCACGTGTGCCTTCTTAAGGAGGATACTTGTGCTTCTGCAGCCCGTGAGCACTTGTCCTGAGCTGCTGCCACCTCGGGTGGGAGACATTGGGGTGTCCTGGGCAGACTTTCCTCACCAGTGAGATGAGAATGTTAGTTGAAGGCTGCAAGCTCCTTCTTCCAAATCTCTCCCTAGCTTATAATTTGCTTTTCATAATAAAGAGAGGCTGTTTACTCTGTGCTCAGCCTTTTTTTTCCCCTCCTTGTGAATAATTTCTTTAGAAAAAAAGCTGCTGTTCTGTTCTGCAAGCCACGACGCTGTTGTGTTGGAAATGGGGCTTTGACGGCATCCTGCACAGAGCTGGCTTGGGTCCCCAAGGCCGTTGTGTCTTTTGGGACCAAACTGCAGACTGTTAGTAGATGAAATGGTTTCTGTAAGCCTCTGAGAGCAGGTTTGAAGCACAACAGTCGCGAGCTAAAATGACGTTCCTGACGATGTCAATGCCGGCTTCTCATGTACCGATTTTATTCTGGAGTTCCGGTTCCTGAACACTGTAGAATTTCAGTGTTATGTTCTCTCCCCATCTCAGTCTCTGCACAGCCAAGTCCCACAGAGTGGCCTACAGAACAGAAATGTCCTGTCTCTAGCTCAGAGGCTAGATGTAGGCAGTGGCTCTGCCTTTGTGGGTCCCTGGCAGGGTCTGTTCCAGGCCTCTCTCTCATGCTGATTGGGCCCACCACCATTGGCCCACAGCTGCAGAACTCTGTCTCCCCATGCCATCTCTCTGCGTATGGGTCTGGCTCAAATACCCCCTTTTCATAAGACACCAGTCACCCTGCTGCATGGTGGCCTTAGCTGGCCACATTGCATGGACCCTGATTCCACGTCAGGTTGCATCCTCAGACGGAGAGCCAGATGTCAGCTGTGCCTGTGGCCCACGGGCACAGATTCAGCCCATGACACAGAGCCACGTGCCTTTTTGTTACGATGCACTTGGATCTGAGGATTTTAGAGATTTTTGGAGAGAGGAAATGGCTCGGCTGTGACAACTCCACTAGAAGTCAGTGTTTTCTCTTATTTTACCAAATATTTTGTACATCTCCACCTTCACGATAGAACCACCAGGATGATGGGGGAGTCCTATGAAAATGTCTGTCAAGGTCAGCAATGCGGTTGAGAGGCCTCACCATCTCAAGCCCAGGATGGGTCACAGAACATGACATGGCCCTGCGGTCACAGCTGCTGCTGCTCCTGCCATTGTGCAGAGCAGGAAGCTGCACTGCAGGGGGCGGCTGAAGACAGCCCTGAGTGCAGGCGCAGAACCAGTACCAGCTCCCACCCCACGCTGCCCTAGGGAAGGTGGGCTTCCCTTTGGTTGTAGAAATCCATGGGGCACAGGCTCCTTCTTTCCCTCCTGCCCTTCCTTCCTTCCTCTTCTCTTGCCCTCCTCCTCTCCCAAGGAAGATTTAAGGGATGAGCACAGGAGTGCTCTTGGTTTCACTTGAACAGGGGAGTGCTTTCCGCGTGGGGCTGGGTTTCACTGAGCCTGATGCCAGCGCATCTCCTGCCCCGGGACTTGGTGACCTGGTTCTCTGGCAGTGCTTCCTGCTGCGTTTAGTCTGCAGGTTCGTTTCATTAAAGATCCATTTTGAACAAGAATGCTTCAACTGTTCTTTTTTTTCTGGGAAATTGATGCTTGCGGGGTGAGTTCTTGGAAACCAGCTTTGAAGAGGGTGTTCCTGGGGAGTTTCCTGGGATTTGGTTGAATTGAACCCTCTTATCCCAATGTACCAAATGTCTTTGGTCCTTTATTGGGATTTTTATCCTCTCTGGGATTTACAAGTAACCATTATTTCCTTCTCTAATGTGTCATCTTTTCTAATGCATGCTTTATAAACAGGGCTAACACCTTCCTGGATGCATAATTTCCTCTTGAAAGTTCTCTTTTTAAGTTTTGTTTTACCCTTGGGTCCTGGGCAGCTGCTGCCGGTCCCTTCCCTCTCCCACCCAGCAGCCGGCGCTGGGACTGCCTCCAGGGTGGCGGGAGGTGGTTTGCCGTTGAACGAGGGTCTTCGTGTCCCCAAAGGCAGTGGCTCGGAGTGAAGGCAGCATGGAGAGGCAGGAGAGACTCCGGGTTGGTGAAGTCCCTCCTGTTCTTCAGGCTCCTCTTCACCTGGAGAGGTCCAGAAGGGGTGCAGCCGTGTCCAAGTCACATTTGCACAGTTTGGAAAGAGACACTCAATTAGGGGCCATGTTTTCGGCACTTCTCAACATGCTCCGTGCGATCATAGCTCCTGTTTGGTGACAGTTGATCCTGCCAAGGTCTTCAACCCAAAGCCTCCTACGCCTGAGGTTTCTTCAAGTTTCTCAGGAAGTATGGCTACTCAGAAGAGGCCCTAAACAGAGCTCTTCTCCTTATTTCTTCCTCAAACAAAAGGACCATATTTCTCTCAATCTGTCCGTGTCAGAGTACCCGTGGAAAGTTCCAGAAATTGTAGACTTTGTAGACACACAGCAAAAAAACCCTATTTCACCCTCCCTCCATGGCTTCCAGGAGTGTTTAGTGGCTTTGCATTAGACAAGAACAGTTTAGGGGAGGAAAAGTCTACTTGAGACTCACAGTTTCAGAGGTCTCAGTCTGTAGACAGCCGACTCCATTGCTCTGGGCTGAAGATGAGGCAGAACTTCAGGATGGAAGAGCCCAGTGGAGGCAAGATGCTAGCTCGCGGTGGGATTAGGAAGGAGGGGGCAGGAGGGTATGGGGCCACAGGGAAGATGCACCCTTCCAAGGCACACCCCCAGTGAGCCAGCTCCTCCAGCCACGCCCTACCTGCCTACAGTCACCACCCGTTCAAACCAGGATGGACAGGAAGGTCACAGCTCTCCCAGTCCAATCATTCCACCTCTGAACATTCCTGCACGACAGGAGCTTTAAAGACAGCTCACAAGAAGTTTCACACCTTCAACCATCAAAGTAAATGTTCTTCATCTCCGTTCAGCACTATGTTTTATGGGAGACTTTTCTGGCTTTATGATAGGAACAGCACCTCCATCTGTCTCTTATTAATCTGTGACCTTTCATATAAGCAGGTTACCTTAATATGCTTTGCATGCTGGAAGCCACTCTGCTGTCAGTGGAGGGAGGTCCAATTGAAAATGAATGATATTGTTGTTGTTTTGAGTAGAATTAATTATCAGGGTCCTCACTGCCCTCATGTCGTAGAACGATAAAACCAGTGTTAGGTAGAACCCCTCTGTTCACTTCAGAGCTGTTGTTTTGCTATGAAATATGGTGTATCTGGGATTCGAGCTTTTAGTTTTTCTAATGAACTAGATTTATTGGTGAATTTATAAAGATGGAAAAGAAGTGGATTGGTAACTGTTGGAAGCAGTTAGCCATTTCATGGACACGTGCTCAGAGACACAGGTGTTTGCTGTAGAGATGAGCTTACTTCCTCCTGGAGAGGAGCAGAGCGGAGAAGGTTGACTGTGATGGATTTTGTCACTGCTTCCCAAGGGACAGGGCACTCAGGCTAGCACTCAGGGAGCTAGCTGGCTGTTTCCCCAGGACAGTCTCTCTTCCTGTGGCAGAAATGGAGGGAGACAAAAGACCCCCACCCCCGGGGAGTTAAGAGCAGGAAATGTCTCCCTGGAACACTGTCCTCACTGACGATCCCCCTCTGAGAAGCTGAGCTCATCAGCCTGAGTCAGGCAGGACTCCATCTCCGGTGGTGCAGGGGGGGTGTGTTGCACCCCCCTTTCCCCAAGCTCAGGACTCTCTCCCCTGTGACGTGGGACTCTAAGATCCAGGCTGGGTGGAAAACTGAATGAGATCATGTGCATGATGCACTGTTTGCTTAGTATTTCTCTCCCAAGAAATCCCGTCCTGCCCACAAGAGCTCTGTGGTTGTGTGGAGCTGCTGTCTCTGCACCCTCCCCCAGAAGGACACTGCTGCCAGCTCAGGCCCTGCGGCTGGCTGGTCAGGAGGGCTGGGGACAGAGGTGTGGGCATCCAGCCCTCCAGCCAGAGGCTGCTCGGCTCAGTAATCCCGGGAGAGGACCGTGAGGTGACTGCTCTTCTGCCGCATCCGCGTAGGTAGGGGTCCGGGAATGTGAATGCAGGGCAGCTCTGCTGCATCTGCCTCCTGACTGGTTAGCAGTGGCTGACGGTGGTGCCGAGGGTCTGGGAGATGCCCAGAGGTGGGGAGGGAGGGCAGACCTGCCTCAGTCCCTCCTCCCTCTTCCCCAGCCCTGGTTGCTATGCAGTTTCTATGGCAGCAACAGCTTCCTCAGACTCAACTTTCACCCCATTGAGAGCCAATTAAGGTAAAATAGTGAGGGGAGGGAGGAGAGCGGCACCGTGGGGGGCAGGGACCCGTTTTGCAGGCTGCGAGTGGAGCGTGCACTCTGCAGCCCATTACAGCTCCCTCTCCCCGCCACAGCTCCCGGAGCCAGGATTGGCAGAGCCGGACGCACGCCAGTGGCTACACTGAAGACGCCAGGGACCCTGCCCAGCACCCGGAGCCCCCAGTGCAGGCACCCCATCCACTCCTCGCGGCTACGCTGTGCTGGTGACCACTGCTGTCCCTCCGCTTCTCACATTCTGTCTGGTTGCGTCTCTGGACTGCTCAGTGCCTCTATTTATTTTCTTATTATCAATATTTGATCAGAAGAAAAGGAAAGTTTTTTAAAATGCCGATTGCACAGTTGCTGGAACTATGGAAGAAGATAGAGGTGGAGCCCATGGAGATAGAGGTGAGTGCTCCGGAGGCGGGAGGTGCGTTTCCACAGCACCCCGAGGAAGCTTGCCGAGCAAACGGGCTGTTCACCTACAGAGGGACCAGTGTGAGGCAGAGACTCGGGGCTCAGTGTGTGTGGATGTGTGTTCCGGCACATGTGCGTGCACGTAAGCACCGTGTGTGTGCACATGTGGCGACATGTGTGGTGTGAATACACAGAGGAACAGGAGGGAAAGTCGCTGCTCTCGGCCGCCCCCCGGGGTGCTCCGCTGGCCTGCACGTGAAAGCCTCGGTGTCCCACACTGGTCTGCGTCAGCGTGCCTGCCCTGCAGCAGGTGGCTCTCAGGTCGGGCCTCCCTCTGCCCTGGCCAGGCAAGGCGGGGAAGGCAAACACTGAGCGTCTTGTAAGGCACAGCGGAGGGCGCAGCGCCGTCCTGAAGGAGACTGAAGGAGACGCTTAGAGGAGAGGTGTGCGGGAGAGAGAGCAGGAGGAGGCGCGGGTCTCCTGGCTCCTGGCTACGGGGGTGCGGGTGGGGGTTCCCCATCCCAGGAATGTCTCCTGCTCCGTTGGGATTATACATGACCAACAAACGTTTCTCTGAGAAGAGAAAGTGTCTCAAAGTTATTAACATCTCCTAAAGTTTACATGTACCATGCTGCCTTGATAACCGCTCAGATTGCCTTTGAAATGGCTGTTTTGATAACTTACAGAATCTTCAACTAATCCCAGCTTTAACTTGTGCCTCACCCCCTACACCCAGTGCCAAGATCACAAGTTCAGTACTATTCACATGACACGATTTTAAACTGCCGAGAGATTCTGGTTTAGAGGCTGATCTGCTTGGTATTTTATATTTAATACACTTCTGAGCAGCGTGAGGTGTGTGGCAGGGCCGATGGGCTGCTGAGCCTGGCTCGGGTGGGGGCCCTGTTGTAGACGAGCAGGCTGGTGCCAGTGCTGGGGGTGCTCTGGAAGGATGGCACCAGCTCTGGCTGCTGACCAGTCTGTAAATGTGCTTCTGAGCACAGAAGCTGAGGCCTGGGAGAGACCTTCCTCCAGGGGTGGCCAACACAGTCTCTTTTTTTTTTTTCTGAGAGAGATTTGATTTTTCTAAAAGGTGAATTAATGAATGAACAGACGAGTCAGGCAGAAGTTCTTATTTCCTGGGGCTCCCCGAGAGGTTCTGGCTACCATGACGGTGGCATTGTGGTGAGGTGCCAGCTGAAAGGCCTCTGAGCCCCGAGGACGGGGGGGAGGACAGGGTCAGGGTGAACGGCCTTGCAGCATTCCTGCTGGGACTCTGGGCTTGACATTGTCCCAGGGACGAAAAACCCCCAGAGGCAGCTTGTGTTTTAAAATTTCTGAAGTTAATGGAAAATGGATGGGCCATGAACAGGTTATAAAAACTGTTACCTGATCATAAACCACATGCTTCTATGAGTACAGATGATTATAAATGGTGTCCTGTCCCTGAAAAGGATTGCAAATCCAAAGTGCTGGAAGCTGACTTGACGGGCAGCGGGGCTGCCTGTGCCCCAGCGAGAAGGCAACGGTGGAGCTTTAGCCACTGATCTGTGCACACCACCACACGGGGGGTGCGGATGAGTTAACCTCTGAAGCAAGAGAAATTTCCCTCCAGCTTCCTGGGAGTGTCTTTCAGAACAGCGGCCCCGTGGTGTGCGTGGATTTAAGGTGGGGTGGGAAACCCCAGGCTCCTGGGAATGCAGAGGAGTCCGAGCCCATCCACAGGATCCAAGCTCAACTATCGATCCAAAGCACTTCAGATTCCTGAGGGAACTTCTAATCCTTAAAAACATGCGACCCACGGGGTCCGGAACCCCGAGCCAGGGAGGTCTTACTCTCTGTAGCCTGTTTTCTGTTCCATGGTGGTAACTAGGTCTCCTATGCTGAAGGCAAGCCGAGTCCCTTGGAGGGCACGTGGCCTGTGGACTCCATGGTGTCATCAAATGCCGGATGTTCTCCTCATGAGGACATCAGCTATGAAACTTTAGTTCTGATGGCCATTTGCTTTAAAAATAAAATTAGTACAGCGCTGTAGTCAGGCAGAGAGCTGACTCCTAACACGCAGCTACAACCTGCCAGGTGGAAGCGGACCACCGGCGCCAGCCCCGGCGGGTGCTTAGCAGCTGGTTAGTTATTCCAGGGCTGGAAGTCGTCCTGGCTTCCCGTTCCCCTCCAGCAGCTCTTCCTGCTGCTCTTCCCTTGGCCGGTCCCTCGTGCCCTTGGAGGGCCCACAGTCGTAGGCCGGGCAGTGGTCATTCTCCTCACCTCCGTCTCACAGCACCGTCTGTTCCCCCCACAGCCGTCTCCGCTTCAGCTTGGAGCAGGGGAGATTCACTTGACTGTCCAGGGAACGGCACTGTGGTCTCCTGAACTGTCCTGAGGGGTCTGAGGTGGAGGGTGTGGACTAGGAAACCTGCGCTGGTTAGAAGCTGGGAGCCCAGACAACCCCTGAAGGAGGTGGAGAGAAAGAGCAGGCAGGGTGTTGTGAGTCACCTTGTAGCAAGTGGAGGAGAATCTCGAAGCAAGACTTTGCAGTCACTGCTTTCTTTCGGCAGGGTGACAATGGCCAAGGACGTTTGGGGAGAAGGTGTGTTGGGGAGGGGACCAGTGTGCAGGCCAGACCGTCAGCCCGAGCTGACCGGTTTCATTTCTGTTGCCCTGGAGAGTTAGCATGATTCTTCTTTCTGGGTGCCACAATGCATGAGAGAAGGGAAAAGCCCCCATTTCCAAACAGTGCCCATCAAACACGACGCCTGGAGACTCGGAGGCAGCTGGTGTGGCAGCGAGTCTCGTGGTGTCCAGGTGGGAGCAGTGATCAGGCAGCTAACCTGGAGTGTCCGTGGCCCGAGGGAGGCTGTGTCGCTGCGGCAGGTGTCGATTCAGTGCATCTCCCCACACCTCAGGGCAGTGAGCACTGTGAAGGGCTTGGCTTTGTATCTGTGGAAACCAAGGCCCTCCGAAGCATTAGCCGAGTCATTAAGTGTGAGCAGAGACCCAGACCCAGCCTCCTGTCTATGTGCTACAGACACTTTGCTGTACGTCTTTACGGGCCAGCTCTTCACTCTCTCTAATTTTGTTAATTGCTCCAGCCTTAACCTGAGACTGTGGTTCTGTTCCATTCAGATGGAGTGGTCGCAACGCGTCTGCCATCCCTGTCTCCATCTTGGCCGCCTTGGCCTGAGCTTCATGGGAATCCATGTCTCCTGCCCTTGCTGGTGGGAGGCTGCATGAACCTCGTTCACCTTTCAGCTGTGTGGGAAATTAGACACACCCATGGACTTAATAATCCGTGGCTTTGGACATGAACACTTACAGCCTGTTACATAAACCATCATCTCTTGCATGAAGCATTGTACAGTCACAAGTAGATTCAGGTGGAAAGGGACCAAGATGTGGTTCCAGTGTCCCCCGAGCTCATGTGAAATATTTAATTAGCCTCCTTTTGCTCTGTGCCCTCTGTGAAGCTATGTCCAAGAACCTCGCATTGCTCACTGTTTACTGTCTGTCTTTGTTGACAGACAGCTGAGGAGGAGCCCAGCTTGGACACAGAGCCCACCCCAGAAGACTCTGCGGAAGAAGTAACTATATGCATGTTTCATTAAGCCTGATTGCTGGGGAGGTTGGGTCTGGAGGGTGGAGTAGAGGGGAGAAGTGGATGTTTACAATCCGTGGCTCATGTGTGGTCATTTTCGTTAAATAGGTAGTTATGTATATCTACACACATGCACACAACATACCATGCACACATGTGCGTCCTGTGAGTGTCACATGCGGTAACTTTCCCCACAAGGAGTAGTGCCCATGGGAAGGATGACCACAGGCGGAGGTAAAGGCTCTGGGAAGCCGGTGAGGCCACCGTGAGTCCACCGTGAGGAGGTGCAGTGGGCACAGGAGAAGGGAACAGCGACTGCACCTGTGGGTGTTGTAACCAGGTCTCAGGTGGGGTTGGAACCATGCTGAGGGTTTGTCTATGAGGAGGCCACCTTTCCAGAGGCATGGAGTGGATGAGGGTCTGCAGAGGAGAGCTGCGGGGGCTGCGAGGAGGGGCTGGGGAGAGGGAGGCTGGCAGAGCAGGGAGCACTGCTGAGGATGCCACCCCATGTGGGCATGAGAGGGAGGAGCCACGAGCTGGGCCCGGCTGTGTGACCTCCTGCTCTCGGGCCCTGGAGGACGCTGCTCCTGACCCAGGCGAGGACACGGGACCTAGCTTGGTCAGGGGAGGTGTCCTGGCAACTCTGTTGTTGTAGAGAGAAGTGCACAGACCTGCCAGGGGGACCTCGGCTGTTAGTGTCCTGAGTGGAGACGGAGCTGGGTGACAGGAGTCTATCCAGTAAGCACGTTTCTGTCACTGTGAAAGACATTCTGCCCAGGACGGCTGGAAGCACGGGGTGTGGACAAAGTTGACAACATGTGGCAACCTGAGTCTGCTTGGCCAGGCACCTGGGCGCCACACACAGGCAGCATTTGCCACTCTGTTGACTTTTAAAATGGCTGTGAGTATTGCATCCTTGGGGACTGGATCAGTGGACGCTCCTGGCCTGAGGAGTCTTCTCAGATGCTGAGATCTGCCTTCTCCTACCGTCTAACGCAGGCACACAGTACGAATTCAAGCCCACTGTCACTGGTCCTGATGACCAGGTGACACCACACATTGGTGAAACAAGGAAAACCCCACTGAGCTGCCATCGTCAGCCAGCGGGCTGCCTCCCCACTCTGGCCTCTGCGGCTCTCGGGGACTTTGAGCTCAGCTCTCTCCCCAGCCTGCAGTGACGTTGCTGCCGCTGTGGACAGATATTCATCTTGGCCCTGTGGGTGGCACTGCCTGGGAGAGCAGGTGCAGCTCTGCTTTGCCAGGGCCCCAGCGCCAAACGCAGGGAGACACGAGCTGGTGACCGCCTGGAAAGATGGGTGCTCAAAGTCACAGGGTGAAGAGGGCAGGCACCCCCTCCACACGGAGTGAGGAGGGCCCGGGGAAGCCAGCCAGGCTGCTACTCTTTCTATATCAGCCCTTGTGTGGGGCTGAGGATGGAGCCCAGCACCTTGCATGTGCCAGGCGAGCGCTCTCCCGCTGAGCCACACCCCAGCCACAGCGACCACTCTTAGCAACGCGTTGCCAGGCTTCTGTAGGAGCTCTCATTTGGGGGAACCTGCAGGGTACTTACCGAGGGCAGATGACTGTGGTAACTTGGCACTTGGCTTCTGGAAGCAGATTCGTGGCACTCAGCTCGTGGAGGGGGGGTGGACTGTTCATCCTGTAGGTCCAACTGAGCTACGGGATCGGGTTGAGGGCTCAGTCCGATGGGGTGCTGTAACAAAGCAGAAGGAACTGGCAGCATACTAACGTCAGGTGTTTATGGCTCACGGTTCTGGAGACTGGCAAGTCTGAGGTCAAGCACCCACGAGTTCAGGCCAGGGCAAGGTCCTGCCTACTGGTTCATGGACAGCCACCTCTCAGTGTCCTCCCAGGGCAGGAGGGGCTGCCGGCTTCTCTTGGCCTCCTTTGTAAGTACCCATCCCACTTAGGAGGCCTCCACCCTCAGGACCTGACCACTCCCCAGGCCCTTCTGCCTAACAGCATCATCTAGGGGGTGAGGATTTCATCAAGTGAACTTTAGGGGGAGGCAGACACGCAACCCACAGTGCAGGATATGGTCACAAGTCCTTAAGAAGCGACCAGAGAATTGTATTAGCTAACATTGTGCAACAAGAGTAAGGTTAACAACATGTACCCCTGAGACCTCCTCGCCCCAAGCTGCCCACACCCCGCCTTTCTGCTGGAAGTCTAGCTGTGACCTTGTCACAGGCACGCGGTGAAGACAGCTGGCCTCTTGAAAAGTTATTTTTGATAATGGAGTATGAGATCGTGGAAATTATTATTTCCTGATGTTTCCTTGTCTAGATGATTCAAAATTAGTCTTTTTTCATTCCTAAGAAGTAAAAAAAGAGCATTCCTAAATACATAGAGGTACCAGGTACTTCACAGGAGTATGATATTGAAATTCAGATACATTTGTAATGTCTGTGGGACGAATGTAAGAATACTGGCCACGGTCACTTGTTACGCCGTGTTTCTGACGGCTGTTCTGAAGGTCAGTGAGGCAGACTCAGCACAGCTGCCGGGGGAGGCCGGGCTGGGGTCCTGTGCTGTTGTTTGGTTCTTGTTAGAGTCGAGTTTCTCTCCCTGCACTGCCCTTGGCCTTCAGAGTGGTAAGGCACAGCACTTCTGTAACTCAAGGGTTTGTGGGTCAGATAAAAGAGGGGACCTGGATATACAAAGTCTTATACCTTTTGCCTCCTGAACATGTGTGATCATTAAAAGTTCATCTTATAGGGAAAAAATAATCGTTCAGCCAAGCCTGTGGCCCACGCCACACCACGCTCTCTGGGAAGAGCATAGGGGGACATTGGAACCTGCCACCCTGATGACCTTAATCCACAGGGCTCTTTGTGGAATTACTTCCTTAACTTTCTGAAGAACACTTGGGAATGTTTTTTTATATATATGAATATCTCAGTATTTCATATAAATTTCTCAATATCAATATCTTTATATTTTCATATAAATATCTCAGTGAAACATTCATATTTCTCACATAAGTCTCTCATCTATCTCTTGTCCCATCATGCCTCCTGGTGTGGCTCTGTCCAGCTTCTGGGAAAAGGACCCTGGTCTGGTAGGAAGATGGACCAGAAGCCTGTTTCTGAGCCCCAGAGCCCCCCATGCTTCTCCTTAACCATGGAGAGGGAAAGGCTTCCTTGCTCAGGAGGTCGGGGTGCCCCGGGTGTGCAGTGTGTAGGCTCCTGGGGAGGTGGGCTTGGTCTGATGTCACTCGACACACACAGGCAGGTCCCCTGTAATCCCTACGGTGAGATGCCAGCAGGTCCCATCAGGAGACCTCTCTTAAGGGATCCATGGGAGGGTCTTGGCATGGGATGGAGCAGGTCCCAGGGCAACTCTGTGAGCCTCTGCCAGGTGCCTGCTGGGTGCAGGGCGGGCACCCTCTCGTGGGTTGGGCTCCCTTTTGCAGATGATTTGCAGATAAGCAGAAGTTGGGATTCTGGACATCAGGAGAGCTAAGGCAGTTTACAGTTTAATGTGACAGTAAGTGTGTTGCTTGGCCCCGATGCTGTTTCGCAGGGTGAGGGGCCTCTAGAAGGTTCCCAGGCGCTGCTGTGCAGTCTGGTGTGTAGGGCTAATTGAGTGAATCTGTCATGGGTCCAGAGGCGACCTGCCGCCTGGTTGTCTAGGAAACCTGCTTGGACGCTGCCCAAGAGTCCTCGGCAGACTGCAGCAGCCGAGCCGCGAGACTCTGGTGGTGAGGAGGCCGCGTGTTCACCGTGGGGAAGGAGGCTAGCGGATGGTGACAGGGACAGCGGTGCTTCCTCTTCTGAGGGAGGAGCTGACCAAGGCCAGCTGGGAGAGCCAGCAGCAGTGGCACTGGTGGGAGAAGCTGGGCTGGCCATTTCCGTGGCGCAGATGCCAGATCTCCCAAGCACCAGACCACACCAAGCTCCTGCCCGTGCTGTCTCATCATGCTTGGCCCAATGTACTCTTAGGTCCAGAGCGGTTTTTAAGTGAACTCTCATTTCACAGAAAAGCCTATGAAAAATATTGGAATTTTTAGTGTGTGGTTTCTGAAGTGCCGAGATTTCAGGGTTATATTGACTAATCATCATAAAGACCGTTTCCCATCTGGTCAGACCCAGGGAATGGTTAAAATATCAGCATGTTTTTACCTTGTTTCTTGTGACCACTGGGGTGTTTCCGCACCCCCACTGATTCTGAGAGTGGAAGAGGAATTGTGTGGTGAGGGCTGGCACTTTGACACAGCCCCATCGGTGGGCACCAGAGGACGCTGGAGGGGACAATAGCAGCTCAGAGGCAAGAGAAGGTCCTGAGCCGGGCCCGCAGCCCCTGGCAAGGTGGTGTGGTGCCTGGGGGCGGCTCGTTGACGTACTTCTGGGCAGCTGCCAACGTCACCTCCTGCAGTGACCAACTCCCTGACTTCCCGAGCAGTGGTGCCTCCGACCTGCACCCTCTCCACTGGGCGGAGCGTGGGCGTGGGGCGAAGGCCAGGGAAAGGACTGGTGGAGGTGTGCAGAAACAGGCCAGACCGTCCCTGCAGCCTCGTGGAACCAGCGCGTTGCCCTCTGTCTCTGGAACCTAGACAGAGGTTCACTGCTCCCCTAAAAAGGAAAGAAAATGCCGTCTCAACTGGCTTGAATAGAAGTGAGACAAGAGGAGTAAAGAAGCCGAGGACTAGTAAAGCCATGAGGAGCCATGCAAGCGTCGTTTGGAGAGGTAGTTAGCCGTCTCGAGAGAAGATCAGTGAAGTGATCTGTCTTGTAAGACACCAGTGGCACCTTTAGAAGCTGGTGGTCTCAGAGAAACAACCATTCTGCGCAGCACGTGGGGCCAGACCGTGTGCCCGCGGCTGTGCAGCAGTCGCACCGTCTGCCAGGGCTCTGTCCTCCTCCTGGGGCACGGTACCCGGTGGAGGTCTGCGTGCAAACGGGCCGAGGACGGGCGTCTGGTTTCAGGCTGAGAGTGCCCCCCTCACGCCTGAGCTGCTGTGCT